GAAAAAAAAAAATGTATTATCTTGGTGTTATTTTCATTATAACTAAAAATCTTATTTTATGAAAATTTCTGATGGCGCAAATCGTAATAATACAATTGCATAACAGGCCAAATAGTCATTCACATTTCGCGTAATAAATATGGTAGGTTTATGTACCGTAATAAATCAGTAACGCTCATTTGAATGACTATTTTCTAAACATATATAAACTAATTGGAACGAATTCAATCTAAACACCTCGACATGTATTTTGTGGCCCTCAAATACCGCTGCTTCAGCATTTCAAAAAAACACGATGGAACAAAAAAAAAAAAGGAAAAAAAAAAGAGAGAAAGAAACAGCAACTGCAGCAACAATTGCTACAAGCCAACACACCATAATTGGCTGTTAGAGCCAGCCAGCCTGTAGTTTAATGTTTTCATATGCATAGTTATCTGTGTATTGTATACAGGGGGCGGAGCCAGCCTAAGGCTAGGTGGGCTCCAACCCCATATAATTTTTTGCTACCTTTATTTTTGTTAATTTTATTTTTTAAAAAATTGTATACATAGACCTATTAGTCCCGTGTAATTTTTTATATAGCCCATTTAATTTAGGGCTGAATGCTTCAAGAATATCTTAAGGTTAAATTTTTTTATCTCACAACAATGGTGAAAAAAATGATGATTGTAGTGAGGAAAAAAGACAACCCTTTATTCTCAAATGACAATTGTGACCTTATTAAATTTTATCAAATGAGTTTATAATATAGCCCAGTGCACTCTTGTCTTTTAAATTTTTAGTTGACTTGATAAATATCAAATGAGTTGGATAATTAAGCTTGACACAGACTTCTCCAATGGGATATTTAATTGGGTTCCTCTCATTCCACAGTCTGTTATCCATTTTCATTTATTTATATATTTGTTGATTTCGCTTCCAATAATTAATTCCACATCATTTCCTAGATAAAGAGAAAACTCGTACAGAGTTGATTGCAAATATGTTCGACTCTATTTGTTCGATCGACAAGTTCGATTAGCTATTTGAGTTTGACTTGTTTAAATATATAAGCGATTCGAGATTGAGTTTTCCAATTCAAACCAACATATGTTCACACATAATTTGTTTCTAATCATAACCAAAACCGGTTACAGGTCGAAACAGTCGATACCGGGCAGAGAGTTGGAGGATCCTGAACCGGCGTGAACATATGTACGGGCCGGTTCATTGAACTGCTAGTTATTGGTCGTCCGGTTCATTACAAAAAATTAAAATAATAATACCTCGGATTCCGGTTCCAGTTCGAAAACTGAAATCGCATGTTCAAAATGTATAAATTATAAAGTATTGTACATGAACCGAAGTTTTCAAAACTACGGGCCGGTTCAAGATCCATGGTCAACGGGCCGGTTTGTGTCGTTTCGGGCCAAACCGATAGGCTGGGTCAACCCATGACCATGTCTACAAGACTCAAATAATAACTACAATAACATGCAGCCCCGGGTTAAAAAAAATTCTGGCTACGCCCCTATTTTGTATATATACTTGGGGCATGGCCATAATTTATTTCAATATTCTTACTTTGTGATTCGACTCTCTTCGAAACCATTTTGTGACCATGGCTCGGAGCCTGCATTGATAACATCTAGTTTGGTTCACAAGAAGCTCGGCTGGTTGGTCGAAGATAGTAGCCGTGCCCACATTCTGTCCGTGATCACCACCTTCTTCTGTTTCTCGTTAATTTTCTGCATTAAACGACAATTTTATTACTAGCCTTTTTTTTTTCGTTAAACAACAAACACTTATTAAGCTTGGTTATATATCTGCCATTAATTTGGTGAATATCATCACTCACATGGAAAGGTATATAAGCATGCCTTCCGTTAACGGGCCCCACCGTGAAGCCCGTATATCCCGCCATGGCTCCGTGAACCGCACTTTGGGCGAGAAGCGTGCAATAAACGTTGTCTGATGCATTGCTCGGTATGGCCCGAATCATGTAAGTTGGATCTGCAATGCCCAAAACATTCACACTTTGTACATTCTTATATATACATACATATGAGAGCAGAGAACAAATAGCTGAGTGAAATAACTAAATAAAATACCTATGTACTTGAGATTAATATTCATCTTCCTTGGCTTGGAAAAATGATCCTACAAACCCATTGCAAGTTGTGTGAAAGAAATGAATTAGCCACGCAACGTCCAAAAGATGATGAAAAGGATTTCCGAAAAAAAAAAAAAAGAAAAACCTTAATCTTTTGAGAGATCCAAAGACCGACATCTTGCTGTTGATTTTCGGATCGTAAGCTCTCGGAAAGTAAGTCATGTCCCGCACCCTCGGCTATGACAATAACCATATGCCCATTCTCTTTAAGTCGTTTCTCTATGTACTCGAAAAGCCCCACCAAATGGAAAGGAGACTCGGGTATAAGGCAGCAATCTACATCACGGCTCGCAAGGGTAGCGTACATAGCAATAAATCCTGCAAACAACCATAAGTACAAGGACAAATGTAAAAGAAAAAAGGTAAATATATAGTAACCAACTTAAGCTTACCACTGTATTTGCCCATTAGCTTCACAACACCGATTCCATTATCGACACTTGTAGCTTCAACATGAGCAGCATTAATTGCACGCTCGGCCTCTTCAACAGCAGAGTCAAAACCAAAGGACTTGTCGATCACCTGCACCAAAAGGTAAAAATTCGCAATGAAATATTTCTAAGCGTAATATTCGATGAATGTCTCATATTAAAGTTAGAAAATGGTATGTACGTGCCGGAATGTCGTTATCTATTGTTTTCGGAATTCCAGCAACCGCAACCTTGAGGCCTCGTCTTCTGATTTCCTGTATGGTGACAATTAAGCCTTTTTTTTTTCTGTTTAGAAATATAAATATTGTTATTTGGAGTATTCACCGAGCTAGCAATTAATACCTCAAAAATTACTGCAGCTCCTTTCTGAGTTCCATCTCCGCCTATTATGTATACCTAAATTATTCATGGCAACCCGAGAAAGACGTAAAAAGAAGCTAGTATGGCTCGATGATAATATTTTCCAAAAGAAAATCAAAAAAATTGCTAAAGAAATGGATACATATATACCTGATTGATCTTTCGGTCTTGAATGCTATCGACAATTTTTTTAGTGTCGTGGCCACCTCGTGATGTCCCTAGGATGGTCCCACCTCGTTTGTGGATATCGTTAACTGTGGTTGGTGTTAGAGCTATTGTGTTCCTTGAGTAAAACCCTCCATACCCACCCTACAGATTCAATTGCAAATTCTTAAACATTTCATGATTTAAAACGAAGACATTATAGATTTTAGCAAAAAAACGAAATGCAAACTCACGTTTATCCCCACAACTCTCTTCACGCCATACATGTGATTCAAACCGCATACAATCTCCCGGATAACTGTGTTGAGACCGGGGCATAATCCTCCGCATGTGACTATACACGCGTGCACGTCATCAGACTCGAAATAAACCTGATTAAAGGAAAACAGATCTTTCAAAAGAAAC